GTGGTTCTGGTTAAAGGGGGCCGCTGGGCCTGGAGAAACACCCTGCTTTTCCTGGGGAGTTGTGGTCCAGTTGGAAAATGTTCTCCAGGGATCTCCAGCCCTTTAGGGTGACCTGCTCTCCAATGGGCCACAGCCCTAACCCTTACCATTTCCAGTGGAGGTCAAGGTGGTGGTGGTGATATTGGTGACGGGCTAAGTGTAGAAAGTATGAGGATTTAATGGCCTTGACAGTGACGGTGGTGATAAGGGCAACAGTGGTCACGTTAGTAGCTACCATGAAGGGAAACGCTGACAATGGTGATAACAATGGCAATAGAGGTGGTGATGATGAAGATGATGGTGCCAGTGAAGGTTGTTGGGATATAATATAAATAAGTCTACACTACCCTGATGTTAAGTAGAAGAAAGTCTAAGAAATCAGCCAAACTGGCTCCTCCCCCATTAGCCGGCATCCAAGGGAGGAAGGTTCTGAATGGCTTTGCACTTGTACGATGCCTCCCTTTTGCCTGTCTCCTTCCCAAGTTAATTGACTACCTACCAGTGCTAAGCAAACCTGTCTCCAGACCTTAGTGCCAGTTACAGCTTCCATCGGTAGCATGTAGATGGGAAAGGTACCTAACAAGTCTTCCTCAACCTTGTGCATTGCTGTAGGGCTTGTTTTAATGATCCGCTGCGGCTGCCTGACACACTACCCCAGAATTTAGCAACTGCCTTCCATCCCCTGGGTGACGGGGCTCAGCCCGGCAGTCCTTTTGCTTCTTGCGATGTCTGTCACCCGGGGCTCACTTAAGCAGCTGGCAGACGATGCTGGCAGTCAGTGAGCCCCCTGGGCTCCTCTTTGTGCGGCCTTGCTGTGTGACTGGAGCTTCTCACAGCAAAGGTGCCTGAGTTGCAAGAGGAGGGAGTGAACATTCCAGGACGGGATGTTCCAAAGGGAAGGAAGTGGAAGCCATCAGTCTTCTTCCGTCTGTCAGTGCGGTCACAAGGCCGTTCCACATTCAAGGTCAGGGGAAGTAAATCCCACCCGTTGGTAGAGCGGCATCACATCCTGGGGAGAAGCTGATGGTGGCCGTCCTTGGAAATGACCAAATTGGTCTCGTCCCTTTTAGAATCTCGAAGGATAAGGCAAGACTCTTGGGCAAGAAGGGATCAGAAATTCTCAGGACAAAAGGCAAAGGGTAAAGGGTAAAGTGGTTGATCTGCCCTGTCTCCTAATAATCTTCCCTCTACTTCTGTCTGTCCACTGCCTTCCTCCCTGTCATGTAGGGAGAGGGCTGTCATGTCGAGGAGGGTGGGCTTGGAGACAGCATGTCGGGAGATTTCGGCATATCACGTCTGTGACAGCCTCTCTCTCTGGCTCAGGCATGGGCTGGGACTTCCCTGGTTCCCGTGGCAAATGATGTCACACGCCAAAAAATCCCCTGAGACTGCTTGCCACAAGCTCTGGTCTTAACTTCCTTCAGGACCCAAGGGGCCATGGCTATCGCATGGAATGGGGTCCTGATCAGCCACCTTCGTTACCGAGGAGAGGATAGTGATAATGTTGACAGTGGCAGCACTGAGCAAAATGCCAATGATGGTAACGAAAACTCCGCGGAGAGAATGGCTTCGCTGGTAGGGACCCCCTTATGGTGACGATAGTGAGGATGCTGGCGTTGGTGATGATGGTGACAACAGCGAAGGTGGTGCTGACGCTGGGGTCGGGGAGATGGGAGTCGGGTCGGAGATGATGGCTCTGATAAGTGGCGCTCGGGCAGCAGGCTTAAAATGAGCAGGGAACGGTGGAGGTGAACAGAGTGGCCGTGGCCGTGGCGATGATGGCTGCCATTGTACCTGCTGCCCCACAGAGACCCCCAAGGCGCCCACCTGCTGCCCGACCAGAGGTCTCCCCAGCCCGGCCCTTCCCCCCAGGAGGACATCGCCAACTTCCGGGTGCTGGTGAAGATCTTGCCCGTCATGGTGACCCTGGTGCCCTACTGGATGGTGTACTTCCAGGTGAGCTCCCTGCCATTGTGCTCCGGGAGGACCGGCTCCCCGGTCCCCTCACTGGTCTCGTCTCTCACCATAGAAGCCCAGGGCGTGTGGAAAGTGGGGGAGGGGTCCACAGAGTGAACTGCAGCTCTGTAGCAGCTGCTGTGGGCCTGGCACAAAGCCATCCATCCCAGTAGTTAAACTCCTTCAGGTGGCAGAGCACGGGGAGCTCTAGGGACAGGACTGAGGCCCAGTGACTTGAACAAGTCACCCCACCTCTCTGGGCATTGGTTCCCTCATGTGTACAATGGGTGGCTTAGACAAAGGCCCTAACAGCTCGACGGCATTCGGATTCTCCAAACCTTGGACCTGAGGTCCAGAGAAGTTCTGCCCGTTGACCAAGGCCCCACAGCAATCTGGGAGCGAGCTCGGTGCACCGAGTACTTGGTCACAGTAGTCCCTCACCCTGGCCGTGCCTCAGAATCACCTGCAGAGCTTTTTACAAACACAGATTCCCAAGTCCCACCCTCGACTGCTGAAAGAGTTGCAGTGGGGAGTCTCCAGGGTAATTAGCTTCTCAGCTGATACCCATCCTCAGCCAGGTTTGAGAACCACTTCTTCCTGTGACTCCCCAAGGGGGCAGTCAGCGGGGAAGTGTGTGTGAGCACACGTGTGTGTGCGTGGGTGTGTGTATGCACGTGTATGTAGGGTGGGCAGCAGCCTAACCCAGCCCCTGATCTCCAGACCACAAGGTCATCGCTTCCCTCACCCCCTTTATGGGAACCTTGTTTCAAGTTGCAGAAGATGGAAGTCATGCAGGACCAGCCTGCCCCTTGGGGGTAGCACAGAAGTAGGAAGTGTCTGTGATGGGACAGGGACGTGGCAGGGGTGTCTGCGTGTGTCCATGGCTGATTCTCATTCACACCGCTCATCGGAACATTGACATCCTTTGATAAAGAGCTGCTGCCCGCCCCTGCCCCAGACCCCACTATGGGACTCTCCTAGTCCCCTCCATTATGTAACTGAAGGGGTAAGGCCTGCGTCTGCCGCCGTGTCCAGAGACATTCCAGTGGTTCAGCGCCTACGCATTTCCTGGCTGTGTCAACCTGTGGGACTCAGCTTGGCCTCCGTGTCAGACGAACACTCCCCGTGGGGACAGCCATGTCACTCTTTTTCGCTTGTCAACAAACATTTATCCATGACTACTCTGCCAGGCCCTGGGACACAGGATGAGTCCCAGCCGTGCCTAGCTCTGGAATAAGGCTGTACGCACCGTTCACGGCCCTGGGAGCAGAGTGAAGGAAGCTCTCTGGCCACACCAGCTCCCGAGGGGGAAGGGGAGTGGAGAGGTCACTTTCCCCCTGAGGTTGAGGAGGAGACAGCTGCCCAGCTGCCCTATGCTACTGCTGAGGAATGCCTCCCTGGGAGCTGGAGCTTCCCGGGGCTGGGGGTGAGGCGGCCAGCTCTGTTCCAGCTTCGTCTCCATCTCTCTTGGCAGATGCAGTCCACGTACGTCCTGCAAGGTCTTCACCTCCACATCCCGAACATCTTCCCAAACTATCCTGGCAACAACTCCGTGGCTCTGGGGGTCCAGGACAGCGGCTATAAGGTGAGAGACAACTCGTGTGTTCAGCCCCCAGTTCAGGCCAGGTCGGGGGCTTCCTCCTAGAAGAGGAGGAAACGAAGCTACCACTACACCTCCCGCAATGGCAAGGTGTCCCCGGGGTATGGGATTAGAAGAGGAGGAAACAAAGCTACCGCTACACTCCCCTCCCGCAATGGCAAGGTGTCCCCGGGGTATGGGAAAAGCACCTGGAGGGTGGGTGAACTTGGGCCACAGTCCAGCCAGCCTGCCGAGATGCTCAGCTGCTCAAAAGAATTCAGGCCAGCTTCACTCCTGCCCACTGCTGCCCTGACAGGCTGCATTGCCCAGTTTGCCCCAGGCCCACAGCTCAGGTGCACTCAGGTCCCTCCTCAGCTCTGCCTTGTCCCCTCCCTCTCTGGGACCCCTGACTTTCACAAAGACTTTCCAAACCAGTTCCTTGGCATTTCAGAGACTCGTAAAATCAAAGAGCTGGCAGACCAATGACATATTTGCTGCTTTACCTCCAGTTCTTGCCCATGGCAGACATCACTAATCAATTATTGAGTCCACGAATGTTCCAGGCAGCCACTACCGATTGATGGAAGTTAGACAGCCTATTTGCCATCCTGACCTAATCCCACCCTTAGTTACACAGCTGAGGAGTGTGCCTTTTGGAGAGAGGAGAGGGCTGACTCTGGGTCACCCAGTCCAGGTGTCTGGGCTCCAGCTCTGCTAGCCTGCCTCTTGGCACCCTCTTGCCCAGATCCCGGAAGCCTGGCTCCTCCTGGCCAACGTTGTGGTGGTGCTGATCCTGGTGCCTGTGAAGGACCACCTGCTTGACCCTTTGCTGCTACGGTGCAAGCTGCTTCCCTCGGCTCTGCAGAAGATGGCGCTGGGGATGTTCTTCGGTTTCACCTCTGTCATAGTGGCAGGTGTGTGGGCCTGAGCAGAGGGGCATGGGAAGGGAGGCCCACCTTGTCTGGGGGTGGAGGGAGGCTGGCTCTACTATGAGCCGATGCTGGAGCCGATGCTGGAGCCGATGCTGAAGCGGGGGCCCTGAGCCCTCCACCGCCCCTGTGACTCCCCAAGGGGGCGGTCACAGTCTTGGCTTCCCCCAGTGGGCGCCAGTCTTGGCTTCCCAGAAGGGGTGAGCTGAAGGAAACTTACCTCAGTGAGTCTGGCCTCCCCTCACTTTTATGAGGAAACTCAGGCCAACAGAAGAAAACAAATTTTTCCTCAGTGGGATGTAAGCTCCCTGAAGGCAGAGATTTTTCCTTTTTTATTTATGAGTCTGGATAATGCATGTCGGTACTCAACAAATGTGTTGAATGAATTTTCCAAACACACATAGCCTCTCAGTGGCATATAAGGACTTTTTTTTTTTTTTTAAGTTATCTATTTATCCTTTTCTTTCTTCTGTTTGAAAAGGATTTGAAACCACTTGTACAAAAAGGGTTCCGATAAAGCAGCCTTTCATGCTCTTGCATAAACCTCAGCCTTTTTCACTTCATGATCTCGAGGTTTCTTAGAGTCTCTGACTCTCATCTTTAAAATGGGAATAGCAATTCATCCGACCCAGTGCAGGACCCAGGCTCCGCCCAAAAAATGAGGATTAAACATGATGAAGTCTGTAATGCATCCAGCACCACACCTGGATCACAAGTAGGAGCCAGAGGAATTAAAGCTCAGTAAACAATATTGTATTGCAAGGATGGAAACCAAACTAGATTTTTAAGCTATGTGCTTTAATGCATTTTGTCCTATTTCATCCTCACAATAATCCCGGGTTTTTTTAATTCCTACTTCTTGCGTAAGGGAACTGGGTCTCAGCAAGGTTAAGTGATTTGCCCAAGGTCACACAGCTGGCCAGTAGCAGGGCCAGGATTGGAACCAAAGTCACCTAACTCCACATTCCACTAGAGAACGGCTGTCTCCTAGGCAGTGAAGGGGAAGGAGATGAAATAAACTTGAAAGCCAGGTTAGAAACCCGAGTGTAATACTTGATGCTGCAGTAGAGGAGTCATGTGATATCATGGAAAGTGGGCCAGCTTTGAAACCAGACACACTGGGGTTCAAATCCAGCCCCAACTACTTATAAGTTGTGTGACTCTGAGCTGGTAGTTTAACTGAAATTTCTCTTTCTCCAGTAACAGTTGTTACTGTTATTGAGTGCAAAAATCTAGCTCTGAGCTTCCTAGCAGCCAAGGCAAAAAGGGAAGAGTTGGAATCCAAATCTTGATACACACGCACATACCTCAGCCCAGTATTCTTTTCCTTACCTGCTTCCCAGTCAGTTATTGGCTACTTGGCCAAGCTCTGCCATGGGCTAAGCTGCCCGGAGTGGGCCTAGCTGAAGCCTCCCTCTCTTGCCCACCAGGATTCCTGGAAATGGAGCGTCTAGAGTACATCCATCAGAACCAGACGGTGTCCCAGCAGATCGGGAAGAATGTGTACTATGCAGCACCACTGTCCATCTGGTGGCAGATCCCTCAGTACCTGCTCATCGGGATCAGTGAGATTTTCGCAAGCATCCCAGGTACGCTGAGCCCCTCCCCTGCTCTTGCACAGTCATGGGCTCTGCCTAGCGGCGCCTTTAAGTCAGAGATCTCACGGGCACAGCCTCTAGAGCTTGTCTGCGTGGAGGACGGCAGGGTTTTCTAAGTGGGGCTGCATTCGCCCAATGGGGGTTTATTAGCCCCCGGCTCATGCTGGGCACTGCTATAGGCACTGGGGATTCGGAGGTGAATAAGACACTTCCCATACCAACCTCCACGTGTTCTCCCTGCTGCCACATTCCCCACACTCTGTGTCTTTGCAGCTGCTGCTCCTCTGCCTGGCATTGAAAAGGGACTCCACTCTCCCCTTCAGTTCCAAGCCTAAAAGCCATCTCCTCCGAGAGGTGCTCTCCAAGGCCCCCAGGCAGAGGGGGTCCTCTCTCTCCTCGCCATCATAGCACACCCGTCTGAGTGTTGAAATGATGCATTTACAGCTCTGCCTCTGCCCTGGGCTGTGCGACCAGAGCTGCAGGGCTGGGGCGGGCTCTTCAGTGAGCCCAGCAGCTGGGGCTTCTGCAGGCGCAGAGGGAGGCTGGGTGGGACTCACTCGGGGGTGTGGGGCAGAACAGTCTCCTGAACAATAAACCCGGGGGAATGCTATAGGGTGTTGGGGAAGCCCTGAGGCAAGGTGGGGGAGGGGGCAGAACACAGCAGGCAGCAGCAAGGACGTCACAGGCAAAGGGAACAGCATAAGCAGAGAGCCGGGGAGGCTTGCACGGAGTGGGGAGGCGCACAGCCCTGCCCCTAGGAGATTTGGGCAGGGTGAGGACCCCATTAGGGACGTTTTAGACATTTGGCTGTGTGAGGAGGATGGGAGACAGGGGAGTTTAAGAGGCATTTGCAGAAGCCGGGCAGGAAATGACCAGGGCTGGGATTTGGCCCATGGCAAAGAGGTGGCACATGACAAGTGCAGACACTGTGAAGAGGTTCTGAGGTTGAATCCAAATGACTCGGTGATGATATTGAAGAGGGACAGACAGGGGAAGGGGAGAGGGTGAAGATGGCGGGGAAGCGGGGGAGAGGAGATGGAGCTCTTGAGGAAATGTGGGGGTTATCCAGGCGGAGGTCCACTTGGTTGCCTGTGCATGGCATTGTCATGGACGTGGAGCAGTCAGTCCCCCACAAGTGTGTGGGGGTGTGTGTGTGGGGAGGGCATTGTGGCCCAGTGGGCGGAGACCTGGGCCCCTTCTCTGCTCTTCCGCTGGCCCCTTCCTCTCTCTGCAGGCCTGGAGTTTGCCTACTCAGAAGCCCCACGCTCCATGCAAGGCGCCATCATGGGCATCTTCTTCTGCCTGTCGGGGGTGGGCTCGCTGTTGGGCTCCAGCCTGGTGGCCCTATTGTCACTTCCCGGAGGCTGGTTGCACTGCCCTAAAGACCATGGTGAGCCTGGGGACCTCCCTGGGAGTGGGACACGGGTGGAGGGAGGCTTGGAAAAGAGGTGGCAAATGACAAGTGCTTCCTCCCGCAGCAGAATGGAGTCCCAGGCTGGACTCAGAGAATAGGGTTCTAGTTAAAGCTGGCCAGTCACCCACAGCATGGCCTCCCTCCCTTGGGCCTGTTTCCCCAACTGTCAAAAAGGAAGCGTGGAACTCAAAGGACCTCCAAGGTCCCTCCTGCTTCGAGAAGTCTGCCATTTGGGCTAAGGGGCCACCTTTCCCTGTGGGACTTGTATTTTAAGCCCCTCAAAGAACAGCTGGCTAACGGGGAATTGTCGAGCCCCCCGGGCAGCCAGATGCTAGCGAGCTATCCGCCCTGTGTCTCCTCATCCCACCTCCTGGCCACACTGCCTCAGCTGCCAGCTCCGGTGGAGCCCTTCCCCGGCCGACCCGAATGCCAAGCCCTCCTCTCCTTTCCCCAGGAAACATCAACAATTGCCAGATGGACCGGTACTTCTTCCTGCTGGCCGGCATTCAGGCCGCCACGGCCCTCCTGTTTATGTGGATCGCGGGTCGCTATGAGAGGACGGCTCACGGCCCAGCTTCCCAAAGCTACCCCAGCAGGGACCGGGGCTGACATGCTCCCCTCCCCGCCCTCGAGCTTCTCTCCACCTGAGAGCAGACAGCAGGAGCCCCAGCTGGGGTTTCCTTCTCAGTTTATTCTGTACCCAACGTTAGGATGCAATGGTTCCCATAAATAAGGGGCGTGAGCCCCTCCTCGCGACCGTGGTCCATGACAAGGGGCAGGACAGAGGGAGAGTCCTTTTGAGGATCCAGGCAGGGGACTTGGATCGGCGAGCACCAGTGGATGAGCAGGAAGCTGCCCAGCATGACGAGGCTGCGCCAGGCAGGCTGGGGAGGGGTCAGGAGCTGCCCCGGATCCTCTCCATGTAGCTGCGCAGCTCCTCGGGGTCTTTCAACCCCATGTCCTCACACACCCAGCGGATGTCCTCCTCACCCGCCACCAAGATGGACTGCACGGCAGGGGCCCCCACGGGCTCCTCGGGCGGCTGGGCTGGGGGTGCTGGCGCGAACGTCACAAACTCGACGCGCTTCCGCCGCCCCCCAGCCTCCTTTCGGGCCAGGGTGCTCGGGGAGCTGGTGGTGCCCCCAGCAGGTGCTGTGGCCACAGTCAGGGCTTCCCCTCCCCCGCTCTCACAGGGGCAGCCCCTCTCCCCCTTGGGCAGGCCAGGGGACGGCCGGTCTAGCTGGCGGCTCAGTTCCTCCTGGCCGGTGCCCAGCCAGACCCAGTTGTGGGGCTGGGGGGAGGCAGGGTCAGTGGCGCCGTCAGGAGGCTCCTTACGCTGGTAGCGCAGCACGAAGACCACACCATTGACCAGGAAGATGAGGATGGCCAGACAGAAGATGCCCAGCAGGGCGTACATGCCTAGCTCTAGGTCGGTGACTCGCTGAGGGGCAGGGACCATCTCCTCCTCTTCCTCCTCCTCCTCCCTAGCCTCGGCCTCCTCCTTCCCCTCTTCTTCCTCTGCCCTCTCGAACTTGTCCCTCACACCCCCACCGCCCCCCACACTGCCTGCTGCCCTCCCTTCACCACCCACGCTGGCCTCTGTGGCTGGGGAGCTCTGGACACGGCTCGATGGGAGGGCGGGGGCCAGTGTAGGAGCAGGAGGCAGCCCTAGCCAGGCGGTGCCAGAGGCCAGGGGCACTCGGTGACGGCCCCGGCGGCAGGGCTCGGGGGGGTGCAGAGACACATGCAGGGGCAGCCCCTCGGGGCCCGCCCCACTCACCACCACCCCGAGAGGGGCACCCTGCTCCTCGGCTGGCAGGATGGCCCCAGGCTCCTCGGCCGAGATGGACAGGCCCAGGTCGCGGTGGTCGTAGAGCTCAGCGGGGGCCAGGGTGTGGTCCGAGAAGGCCAGCCACAGGGAGAGGGCCACCTCCTGCGGGGTACACGGACACAGGCAGAGACACGCGAGGGCACGCACGCATGCACACAGAGACCACTCCCACAGAGACAGGCCACACGGAGGGAGAGAGACCAGAGGAAGAACAGACACGAGCAGAGGGACAACACAGGGAGAGAGGGGACGTGCGTCAATCACCTGTCGGCCACTCAGCCCCAGGGTCTGAGTCACTGGGAGGCTCCTCAGAGCCATCTAATCAACCTCCCGCGAACACACTCCAGACAGCCACCGCTGGATCACCTCCGGTCGCAGAGAGCTCACTACCTTAGTAGGCAGTCAGTCCTCATTCTGAAAACCCTAAGGTGAGGGGTTGAGGTACCACCCATCCCCCTGTATCGGCCCCCATCTAGAGATGTTGACTTCACCTCCCTGATCCCCAGCTGTCACCTGCTTTGGGGTGGGAAGGGCTGACTGTGCCCAGCACGTGGCCGTGACCTCCCCTTGGTGGGCAGTGCCCCGGCTCAGGGCCAGTGAGATGCCCATCACTGGCTGCACCCGAAGCTCCAGCACTGAGACCTTGTCATCTGTCACCGCCAACGCCTGCTCACCCAGGATGGAGTCAGACAGCGGGGAACGCACCTGAGGGTGAAAGGGAGCTGGAGGTGGGGGTTCCGTAGATACGGACAGCCTTTCCCCTCTGAGACCCCAGCAGCCCCACGAAGGGATCTGGTTTCTGTTCCCAGCATCCTCACAGGCTACTCTCCCCACCCCCATGCCCTATACATACCTGGATCCCAGTCCAACATGTCGGGGGAAGGTCCCTCAGCTCTCAAGGCCTGGCCCCCACATACCCATCCCCAGCCTTTCATACCTAGAAGACTTCCCCCATTACATGGGCCACCCTATTCTTACCCAATCCCCAATCCCACTGGGCTCATCCCTCCCTAGGTATACCCTGGGCCTATCT